GCCACCACCAACCTTTCTAACAGCTGTACCTGTGGTTTGGAACGATTTCCAAGCGCGCGAAACGACACTTGTTGATTCCGAACTTGCTGCTACACTGGTGACGGTACACCCCTCCTCCAGCTTTCCGATCATTCTTCCACGTGTGAAGTCATCCAGGTGATTTCTTCTAGTCATATTTCAAGAACTGACTCACTGGCACTTGCAGCGAATATGTTGAACGTCTGCGTCCTTCATTTTATTTTACTGTTGAACACACGCGCCGATATCACGCGTTTTGCGTACGCTCACGTCGCTTCTGACGTTTCGTTTATGATATTTGCATACGCATGACGTTTCTACTGACTTACGTGTTCACTGTACTGATCTCCAGACCTCCTTTTCTGCAATTTCATGGTATCTGCTTAATTTTTACATTGTTGCTTAAGTTTTGCACACCAGTATAGAATGTGCTGTGGTCAGGAATACAGTAGGGCACTTTCCTTATCGATGTAGATCGGGTCATGATGGCAACATGTCTGGTTCTAGATGGTTTCAATACTTGTGAAAAATGATGTTTCCAAAGTCTAGGTTAAAGTAATGTGCCTTAAAATCTGTAACAGTAAAAGTTCAACTTACTGACGAACTAAGCAAGATGTATTTGTGATTTATATTCAATGGCTGACCATTCCATCGCACCATATACAAAGCCCCTTCGCTGATACTGAATGTAAGTGTCAACAGAACAGTAAGAGAACAGAGTAAATACTTGTCTGCAAAAATGATATTTATGCTGCTGTGTCAAAGAATGATGCAATAATGATCGAGAAGCAGAAGTCTGTACTGCTCTAAATGTCTCTCAGTACATGCGGATACCATTGCTGTACAAATCAAGCCACTTCCAGATTCAATACTGTCATGATGTTACTACATAATCCTACAGAATCAACATGTTTGATAAGACGTTGGTCCTCTCAGGCTTAGTAATGGAAGACATTTTAGGTTACATTTGTCTTCTGAATCCGTGGATTTAATATTCGCAGGGCAGATTGATGGATTTCAACCAATGCGAGTAGCAATATCGCAGAACGATAAGCCATACCGTCGAAAAGTTATGTTGCTACCTTCATTGACTTCTGCTACATGGTGGTAACTAATTCTTCTTTTTCAAGGCCTAATATGATCTTCTCCCAAGCAACCTACATTCACATTCAATTTTCGAAGGAGAAACAATCTGCGAAAAGTTTCCTTTGTACAAAATTTGACAAGTCTATTCCCTTCCTGTATTATTAGATTGCGCTTAAATATCTTGTAATGTGTTGAGAACCACCCGATTTTTCTGTTAAGCCTAGTTTCATTTAAAAAAAGTTTTTATTAAATCATTACATTAATAAAATACGTCAAAATTTATAGTTTTTAATCATTACCAATTCCACACGTTGAAAATTCAAATCACACTGGTGTAATCACGGGCCTCACAAAAGGGAAAAGGCAATCTACCATATGGTACCGTTTTCCATTAAGCGATCACATATATGTGATCAATGCTGTGAACAGGATATAACATCATCTTCAATTTGTACAATATTTTACTCTGTATCATTTTTCTTTTATGATATTGCAGTTTTAATGACTATCAGTGTATCCTTTTTTCAATGGCGGTGTAAAATATTTCCACTAGTTTGCAAAAAATTCAATTATACCTCAGTCATTGGAAGAATGTGGGAAAGGAATTATTAATTTTCATTAGTAAATTGCAATTCTATTTAAGAAACGTAATGAAGCATTCAGATGTTCAGAAAACAACTGGAACAAAAAATAAAATTAAATGAGGTAGAGCGAAACCAGAAAAGAATATTTTTAAAACCATGAAAAGTTCCTTTTCTAAAATGATTAAGAATTTATACAGTGTTGACTTAACCCCATTAAAAAAACATCACTTACGTTCATACTATACTTTAATGAATAAATATAAAAAATAATTGCTTTTAACTTCTAATTCATTATCAGGTATTCAGTTGAATTTTTGTGATGAAGATACAAATAAAGAAACCACTTTTAATTAGTTTTCTTAAGTGTGTCTGTGTGTTGATTAGTTTATAATACTAGTTGAATTATTCTTTGAATATTTTATTATTTTGTTCTAGTTAAAAATATTTGTTCTAATTAGCTTTATTCGTATAACTAGCTAAAAGTGCTCGCGACTTACAGAATAGTAACACTAATTAATAATCATTACAATAGATGCCATTTTGATTATGCATGAATAACAACCTATGGATTACTGCATAAATAACATCTAATGCACTCATTGCCAGATTTCTTTCTTCAAAATAATGACTAATTAATTTTTTCTTTGTTACCAAGTTACGCTAGTTACATATTCATATAAGAAGAGACTTGATCAAGAAATAAATTAGTTACAGGTCAGATAAACAAAGAACAGATTTCTTACCTTTTGAATAAATAATTTACACTTGCATAACAAGAATAACATTTGAAAACTTGTTTTTGCAGCACAATATTCTACAGAAACCTTCTAATTGATTTTCGATCATTGAACTAGTTCAACCTTTTAAAAGTAGTCAAAGGAGACTTTAATACCAAAAAAAAAATACATAAATAAATGCTGTCACACAGGATTATATTTTAAATTTTATTATTGATTTACAATTTTGAACAGATTCACAGTCAAAATTCATATATATATATATATATATATATATATATATATATATATATATATATATATATATATATATATATATATATATATATATATATATATAGAAAGGTGTGTTGAAACCATAATGTTTCTTATTTTGATTAATAAAGCTTTTTCTATAAAAAATATATACATTCATTTTTAAAGTAGACCATAAAATTCGAACTTTTTATTTGCTAAGAATTAATTGAAGAAGGAGTCATCATTAAAAACGACAACTTTTATTTTTTAAATATACGATTACTATCAACGCTAAATTATGCCAATGAGAGAGAGAATTTCAGCCTTCTCAAAATATTTTTAACAGAAAAGCACTTAAAAATTAAACGTAGTTTTTCAGACGGATTTCTTGAACTCCGCAAAAAGTTCTTTTTTTAATCACCTTTCAAAACATTGAGGATTCAAAAGTCGATTCTACTTTAAACTAACAACAACTACAACAACTATTTAATCTGTCTCAAACAATTCACCACTTCAAATGGTAGTTCTGATTCACATAAGGCGCGGTTCTTATTCAGAAAGATGTTATCCAATCAAACAATATATATGAAAAGTATTTTTCTCTTTAAAATTCGTTGAAGCTTTTGAATGGAACTGGTTACAGAAGTCAAAAATAGAACTTTTATTGTAGGAAGGTTTGGAAAAGAAAAATATAAAAGACTATAAAGTTTTTTCAGATTGCGTTCAGTGAAATTTTTTATTAAATATTTTCTCACAGTCAGTCTGAACTGGAAACATTCTGTGACTGGAGAATGTGCCTTCTTAGAAGGATTAAATATGCTTTATAAGAGAGAAAGATAATACAACTTATTTGGACTTCATAAAGTTTGAGCAGGATTCATTGCAAGACGCTACACATTCAGATGGTCACTATCATGTTGGAAAACAAATCCGTGATGTCACAAACGTAACAAAATAATACATTTAGTCATAAACTTCGTCTGTTTACAATCTGTACGTATGTTGGAAATATTCCAAGTTTATTCGCCAATGGATTATGCTATATCAAAAGTTGTGAATATATTTCCAAACAATAATATTCTGTTGCCCGACCGAGGAATAGGAGGTTTTGAGAGCAAAATTATTTTGCTGCCTAAGTATTTCCAAACATGTTTTGCGTTTCAACACCAAGTTAGAGTTGGAAATATCGAATAATTGCATACATATTAAAATATCGAATTTCTAGCAATTGTTGAATTTGTATATCCAGACTTCATCCATTTAAAATGCTATGTTTCGTCAAACCACGTTTGCATTCAAACTTTTCTTGTAATCAGCAAATTACTTTTTGAATGGGTTGATATTTTAATGTCTTATAATATATATATATATATATATATATATATATATATATAAATAATTAAATTAGATAAAAATTAAATTAAATCCCTATCTAGCATAACTTCTTATATTTGAAAACCAGTCTCTGTTTTCTATATAATTATAAACTAGAAAACCACGTTTACTCTATTCTACTCTATTTTGTGCTGATTGTTTCTTAATTTTTAAGAGGATTAGTTTATAATGATGTTTGAAAAATTTTTCAGTATTAGAATATTAATAATAAAAAAATAATTTGACTTAAAACTTTGTTTCAGAATTCATATCTCAAAGTTAAAAATATAAACATTAACTTACACTGATTTATTTAAGGCCCAGTTTCAGCGTTATAAAGTTCATAACATTTAAATTACACAAAACAAGTACTATTTTTATGCTTCAGTTGCCTAAATGTATTCAGGAACATTTATCATGAGATCGAGCACAGAATCGCTGAAACCCCACCGTGTAGGGGAGCGATGCACGTTTTATCCGTTGAAGCCCAAACGTCTTCCCATTGGTGTGTTGTGGAAGTTAGGAGATGGGGTACCAGTTCTGGTTTTGCCCTCATAACTTGACCCTAGTTAAAAATTATGAGGTCCGTATCGAAAAGTCCTAGCGCAGCTGAATAGGGTGTGACGTTAATATATATAATCACTCACTCACTCCGAAATATATTCATGGAATGTATTCATTCATTCATTTCATTTGTATTTTTCAGTTCCTACTATTATATAGTTAACTTCCTCCTTATATATATATATATCTTGTTCAAGTATTTAATTGTTAATAAAATACTTTCTGTTCATCCATTCAAGTTCAAATACATTTCTTTTCAACTTGTAGGGGGTGGCATTTGTGTGATGTTAATAGTTTTTTTCAAATATGAATCCCTATATTAAATTTAAAGAAATGAATATATATTAACAAACAAAACAAATGACCAACAATATATATAGAAAGGAAAGTTGTTCGGTGTGTCTCTGTAGCGCAATTGATAGCGCGTTGGACTTCTATTCCAAAGGTAGTGGCTTAGAATCCCACCTGGGATGGCCTAGTTTCTAATAATGTCATTTCTTTTTTATAATACTATATTATTAGAATAATTAAATTTAAGTAATGAATAGATAGTAACAAGCAAACACATAAAATAGTCAAAAATCATATATTAAAGGAAAATGGAAAATTGCATGGAAATTTCTTTCTATTTTGTCAATAATGTGATTCTGTCATATGTATATACATATTTATTATAAATGTAATTGTTTAATAAAAAGTAACAAAAAGAAATTTTTTTTTGTTGACCAAAGTAGGAATTAAATTAATTTTTTTTATATAACTTGTTTCCATTATATTTAGTTCAAAGTTTACTTTTAATACATTTAAGGCAAAATATTTTCCATTTTCTTTTACAATAATTTCACCTTCATAATAAATAAAGAAAATAGAAAACACATAATCAAAATCCTTTTTTTTCAAGATTCTTTCTTAACAAGATTAAGAATCCAAAACCTCAACACGATCAGACTTTTTCAGAAAAATGTTGTAGTATACATCTTCGAAAGATCCTGGCAGTTCTAGACATATTTGTTGATAACGATATCATTTCTTGTAGACAATTTTTGTTAGATATTTGTACCTGTCACGTTAGGATGTCAACAAGAAAATAAATGTGTTAGTTTTAGACACTCGTAAAACTTGACAAAAGATGAAATGAATAAGATTTCTTGAATAGAATACTGGATTCAAATCAGTTTTTTACACGAGATTTTTCAAATTTCTTATATTTTTGCTTTAAGACGCAACATACGATTTTTTCTCGAATAATATTTAACAGAAAATCTTAATATGATTTCAAATATTTATATATATATATATATAATATAATTTTTAAAATAACTTTGAAGTACACCAAGACAATAATCATAAGATATATCATAGTCAGGTAAATCATAAAATTGTCATATCAGAGTATAAAATGTTTATTTGCAATACTGTGAATATATACTTGAAAAAAATTATTTGATTATTTCCTTTTGTAGAAACCAATTTTTAAATAAAATATGATTAAGTTTAAATTTGCTTTAAGTTAACCGTGCGTTCTCTAAATGAAAGAATTTAGTTATATATTATTACATGGCAAATGTAGCAATGTAGGATTTCACAGATCGAAACATTTTTAGAGCTTTACTGCAGTTATGTTTGTTTTGATTCTGATGGTAATGTTGTAAAATTTTCAATGATGATGACTTTACATACATTTCCAGAATACTGCTGAAAAATTGATATTTTAATTTCCTCTTAAATTATTAAATATGTGTACATATATCCGCGTAACTCTTATTCTATTCAAAAAATTAAAAAAGTTTATTGTTTCATCTTTTTCTGTTTTGTTAGTATTTAAGTGTATAGTGTTGAATCAACTAATCTGTCTCACATTTGAATTCTTTGATTCTTTACAGTTTTTAATTAATTCAAACATAATTTTCAAAAAAAAAAATTCTTAGGAGCACATCTGCATATTTTTGCATTTAACATAAATGGATAATTTTTGTACAATTCGAAAAAAAAATCATCATACCTATGATTTGACTTAAGTCAAATTTATAATTTTCTCAAATTTCTGGGTATTTTTTCTTCTTTGTGCCTATTTATCATCAAGAGAGGTCAAATTCAAACAACACGACTGACTGCATTGATGTAAAATACTATTTGTTTGTTCCACAGTTATTCACCATAATCGATACAGACAAATTCTACTGATAGCTCCGACCAGCACAATAGTGATGCATTACCACCCACCCCTGCTATGTGAAGTGGAAATATCCACGCACAGGTATATATAAACGTAAGTTGAGGCACTGAAGATATTTAACGACAGGATAGAGCAACGCGACGTGCGAATCATAAATTCAGCACGATTTCTGGCTTGAACATTGGACGGCTGCAACAGTTGCCAACGTCAACAAAGAATGTTTCCCCAGCTGGACAGATGTGTGAGGGATAAACAATTCCCAAACCAGGATGCTTGGATACAGGACCACGTCATTTCTTTGATCAATGTGACACTTAATTTGCCCACCGAATTTCGCACAAAACACGTATTGCAAAGTGTATTCATGCAGACAGCAGTTACTTTGTTGAATAAAGTCCATTTTTTTTGTGACTCATGTTGTCTTTCCTGTTTTACTTCCGGACAATAATCGCAAAACAACCTGATATAAAAGCTAGCAAAGCTTAGCTGTTTTAAAAGATATCATTTGCGCAAAAACAAAGGGAAATCATTATTATCAGTAGTATAATTATTAATTTCATTAGTGTTAATGTGATATTTAACAAGTATTAATAGTAATTAAATTAGCATTATTAGTGATTCAATTATTATTAATAGCAATGAAATTAGTATTAATATTGATAACATTTTAGAGGCGAAAATTATTCCCGAGCGAAACTTCAATATCACTGAATAAATTTTTCATTTTATGTTTCGCTAATAAAGTACCATTGAACATTATTCTCGTATGTACCCTTTAAAGTTTTTTACCCTAGCTTTTTTCAATATTGGGTCGAACTGGGCAAGATTGATAGATACAGGTAAGTCATTTCATGCAGCTTCAAGTCTATACTATACTATACTATGGTAGGGTATATTAAAGTCTTTCAGCTATATATGACCAGATGTTTTCCATGAGTGAGAGATTTGTATACTGGTGTGCAAACTTTAAGCAACAGGTGGGTTTATTGCGATAACTTCACGAAAAATCATCTGAGAGACATGAAAATCAGAAATGAGGGAGAATTTTATGCACGTAAAGGATGACGAAAGCATCGGCGCTAAAAAAGGATGGAATCAAACAATAACAAGCTTTATTGAACACATAGTATCGTGACTCATGATGGTCTATCCAATAGGAAGAACTACAAGCAGATGTTCCTTAATATGGTATATGCCCTCTCCTCACTGCAATGGTTGCTTCGCACCGTCTCCGCATACTCAGAACCAGATGGTGCAACATTTCTTGCAGTGGCAGTGCCCATTCTTCAATCAGCATCTGTTTGAGTTGTTGGATGATCTCCGGATGATGTAAGCGTGCTGCAATACGTCTCCCCAAAGCATCCCACACATGTGATGGGATGTAAATCTGGGGAGTACGCTGCCAATCCATTCGAGTGATATCTTCACTTTCCAGCAGCTACCCAACAGCAAGAGTCTGATGTGGCCGTGCATTGTCATCCATAAAAGTGAAGTCTGGGCCAATGGCACCTCGGAACAGACGCACATGGGGAAGAAGTACCTCCTCACAATAGCGATCCCCGATTACAGACCCTCTATCGAAAATGTGGAGCTCTGTTCACCCGTTCAGCATAATGCCTCCCCAGACAAGAACTTCTGGACCACCGTAAGGGTGTCTTTCCTTGATGTTACTGGAATAAAACCGTGTCCCGATCTCTCTCCAAATCAAAACGCGGTGAGAATCCCTTCTGGTACTGAACCGACTCTCATCCGTAAAGAGGACACGACTCCATTGATGATCAGTTGTCCAGTTTTTGTGCTCTCTGCACCACTGTAAACGGTGGCGTCGGTGGTCAACTTTCAGCAGAAGGCAGCGTTCAGGACGGTGGGTGAATAGGCCCCCTTTGTGAAGGCGTCTGGCCACAGTAAACCACGACACTTGTCGCCCCGTTGCTGTAGAGAGTTGGTGAGCAATGACGCTTGCTGACTGCCGTCGGCCTTTTTTCGCCTGCAGGATGATATATCGGTCATCCCCTGCAGTTGTTATCCTCGGGCGGCCACCACCAACCTTTCTAACAGCTGTACCTGTGGTTTGGAACGATTTCCAAGCGCGCGAAACGACACTTGTTGATTCCGAACTCTGCTGCTACACTGGTGACGGTACACCCCTCCTCCAGCTTTCCGATCATTCTTCCACGTGTGAAGTCGTCCAGGTGATTTCTTCTAGTCATATTTCACGAACTGACTCACTGGCACTTGCAGCGAATATGTTGAATTGCGTCTGCGTCCTTCATTTTATCTTACTGTTGAACAGCACGCGCCGATATAACGCGTTTTGCGTACGCTCACGTCGCTTCTGACGTTTCGTTTCTGATATTTGCATACGCATGACGTTTCTACTGACTTACGTGTTCACTGTACTGATCTCCAGACCTCCTTTTCTGCAATTTCATGGTATCTGCTTAATTTTTACATTGTTGCTTAAGTTTTGCACACCAGTATAGAATGTGCTGTGGTCAGGAATACAGTAGGGCACTTTCCTTATCGATGTAGATCGGGTCATGATGGCAACATGTCTGGTTCTAGATGGTTTCAATACTTGTGAAAAATGATGTTTCCAAAGTCTAGGTTAAAGTAATGTGCCTTAAAATCTGTAACAGTAAAAGTTCAACTTACTGACGAACTAAGCAAGATGTATTTGTGATTTATATTCAATGGCTGACCATTCCATCGCACCATATACAAAGCCCCTTCGCTGATACTGAATGTAAGTGTCAACAGAACAGTAAGAGAACAGAGTAAATACTTGTCTGCAAAAATGATATTTATGCTGCTGTGTCAAAGAATGATGCAATAATGATCGAGAAGCAGAAGTCTGTACTGCTCTAAATGTCTCTCAGTACATGCGGATACCATTGCTGTACAAATCAAGCCACTTCCAGATTCAATACTGTCATGATGTTACTACATAATCCTACAGAATCAACATGTTTGATAAGACGTTGGTCCTCTCAGGCTTAGTAATGGAAGACATTTTAGGTTACATTTGTCTTCTGAATCCGTGGATTTAATATTCGCAGGGCAGATTGATGGATTTCAACCAATGCGAGTAGCAATATCGCAGAACGATAAGCCATACCGTCGAAAAGTTATGTTGCTACCTTCATTGACTTCTGCTACATGGTGGTAACTAATTCTTCTTTTTCAAGGCCTAATATGATCTTCTCCCAAGCAACCTACATTCACATTCAATTTTCGAAGGAGAAACAATCTGCGAAAAGTTTCCTTTGTACAAAATTTGACAAGTCTATTCCCTTC